TCACGATACAAATTTCGATTTGTTTGCGGTGTATACTACAGCAGGAAGCATAAACCTAATATGAACACTTTTTTGAGACCAATGGTCAATAGTTTAAGAAATTTGTTCGATCCAGGTTTCGATTGGTGTGACAAGCAAACAAATACATTCAAGCACAGCATTTTAGTAGCTCCGATAGCAATATAATGGTGCATATGGATGTACTTTTTGTGAGCATCCAGGAATGAAATGTAATTTCATTAAGGATTTTGCTATTCAGGGGAAAATTCTTAGGCAAAATTTTTCATTTTTGTAAACGAAACTCCTGATAACTCTAGAAATTTCTAGAAAATTATCATTTTCGAACACAAAATTCCAAATCTCCAGAAATTCTTACCCTAACTTTCCCCCGAATAGAGACTTCATAAGAACTATAAATATCGTCGCACTATATGAGAGATATTATTATTACAGGTCACAAGTCAACAACGGTATACCCAACGATAGATTTTTCGCCTATTCTTCGAACGAAAGGTAGAATGTTAGAAGAGCAAGCAAGAAGAGCAGTTCCTGACAATTTAGAGCATGCACATGGCGTGAAAGGTCCTTCGATAACTGCCCTAATACCTTTTTTTTGTCCAGCTACGTCTTTTGTCCCTGACAACTTGCATTCGGTACATTTGGGTGTATGTAGAATGCTCTTATTGTTGTGGTTTGACACTAAATATCATGCATGTGATTGGTATGTACAAAAAAATCATCGAAATGAAATAGATGATGAACTGCAAGCTATATTTCCCCCGGACTATGTAACGCGAACACCTCGAATTATTAAACATATCAATTTTTGGAAAAGGAGTGAGCTTCGCGAAAGTTTGACACACTATTTACCAATTCTATTGAGAAATGTTTTAAAAAAATATTATGACCATTTTTTGCTACTTTCTCAATCAATTATTAAACTTTTAAAAATTGAAATAACAGTCGAAGAAATTGATGAAGTAGATCGTTTACTAAATGAATTTTCTGATGATGTCGATAATTTATATGGGCGCAAAAAATGTACTTTTAATGTACATCAAGTGGGAAAGCATATAATCGAGAGTGTTCGACGTTGGGGTCCCATTTACTGTTGGTCTGCGTTTCCTTTTGAAGATGGGATTAGAAGAATTAAAAAAATAGTTCATGGATCTAATAGAATAGATACTGAGATTGTTAATTCAATGTATTTATTCAATGCACATAAAATGTTAGAACATTTCATTGCGGAATCAAATGAAAATCACCGCGAAAATAATCGAGAATCAATTTCAATTTACCCCTTAGGAAAACCTATCAAAAGAATTTTTAAAAATATTGAAGTAGACGCTCTCAAAAGGTTTTGTTCAATTCGGCAATTGCACATTGAAAACTGTGTTTTTTATGCAAGAATCCAAATTAAAAAAGAAACATATACGTCCAGTAGCTATGTTCGACAAAAAAAGAAACAATTTTAAGGTTTTCTGGGATGGTTCTAACTTATGTAGAATTTTATGTTTTTTCTCATTAGGAGATTCTTTATTTTCTTTAATACGTGAATTCGTCAAATGTTACGATACTGAAAGTAATATTATTGTTGAAAGTAAGCGAATTGATTTGTCTGATTTTATTGTACCAGTGCGGGACACATATTGTATTCATGTTGTGCCGGTCGAAAATATTCAAGGAAAAATAATTCGTGTGAAAAATTTTATATGTTACTCCACAAATAGGGTAAACCAACCAATAGATGGACGATTACCAGTAGATGGACGAGAAAAAGAAGAAAAAGAAGCTGGAATAAAAGAAAGAGCGTTGCAAAGAAAAATAAAAAAAGAAAATGATGAATTAGAAAAAAAAAGAAGGAAGGAAGAGAGAGAAAGAAAAAAATTAGAAAAAGAGCAACAGATTGCAGAGAAAACTAGAAACCATGAAAAAAAAGCTCAAATTAAACAAGATAAAATGAATTCTCAAAAAGAATAATCTACCCAAGGAAAGAAAATTGACGAAAAAGAAAATGTACCTAATTACACAAATATTAATGAAAATCAAAATTTGAAAAGAAAAACTCGTTCCAAAAATGTTAAACAACCAATGAAAAAAATATTAAAAACTGTTGACGTCAATATAAATAATGAAGTAATTTGTCTTTTTATTTATAACCCTTTTTCTATTATGAATATGACGAATGAAAATATTTTTTTAATACCGTTCATGTACTGGACGGGCTTCGTTTATTTACTGGCCTGATCGACCATCTACTGGTGTTCTTGATAATTTGTCATTAAAATTCAATTATATAATATATATGGTCAGTTAAAATATTTTAAATGATATAATTCCATTCAGAAACTTATTAATAATATATTTATATAGTTATTATATCAAAAACAACTATAGTTTTATGTAAAATCATTACTAAATGCAGCTATTCTTTTAACCGTCCATCTACTGGTAGGTTTACCTTATGCGTGAAAAAAAATAAAAAATGTATTTATAATTGTTGCATTAAATTTCTTCATTACCCAAAAATTTCATGTTATTTCATATTTTTTTCATATAATCACTTTTTCATGTTTAGAACATGAACTCAATTCATATATTTTTTATGAAAATTTCATATTTTTTTTTCACGTGGGGTCAACGCTCGATTTTCTAGAATTTCCAGCTAAATTAAGATGAAAGAAGTATCCATATGAAATACAAAACAACTTGTATATGTGGACAAAATCAAAAAAAGGAAATTTGAGTTCGAGAAGGATTGATTTGACCTCGTGAAAGACTACTCCAGCAGTATTCAAGATAATAAGCGATGTTTTGTGACTTCCATGGCAACCTTTAAAATTTTTTGATCAGCTAACTTTTTTTGTGGGTTTTTATTTACTAGAAACGTAATGGAGAGAAAAAAACGTAAGGAATATTTCATTACACCGGGTTAAGATCAATTTAATCAAACCGCGGAATGCTTACGTAATCAGTGCCTATGATATTGTTTTGTCAAATAAATGTGATTATCATAAAAATTGAAGAAACTAGACAAATTTAGAATGTAGTGAAAAAACTCGATTTACCGCACTACGCATCATAATGTCATATTTTTTATATTATTTGTGTGTCAAGGCGCGAGCCCGTTTTTTGATATTATTAATAATGGTTGCCAGTGTGAAAAATCAAACAACCTGCCAAAATATATTAAACTAACGTTACGGATTTAATCAATTAAAAATGTGTCCTAATGAACTTTATCAATTTTTTCAATACGAGCTATGAGGGATTGACAATCGATACATCACGTACATTATACATGTAGACTATCATATGGTAGCTATTCAAAAATAAAATCCATTTCGTGCCGCAAGAGCATTATCAACTAAATAAATCGAATTGACTCTGAAATTTGTTTCAGAAGGTATCTCACGTATCGAAATGATGGTCCGAATCGCAACACGTGATATATCGTTGAATTTTCAAACAACAAATGGCAACGCATTACGCGCAATCAGAGAAACAATCTTTTTGTGGCCAAGCATGCACACACACACACACACATAATACATCTACATTTATGTATAGGCATTATAATATGTATATATTGTACATATCCATACGTGTTTCAAGAACTGCGCATTAATACTTTGCCCGGTCGCAAATTGCTTCTCTATACTCCGTCTTCGAAACCTATTGGAGCTGAAGCGCGCTTTTGTATTATTACGACGCGCTCATAAATTTATTGGCGCGCCGAAAGTTAAAAGAAAGGTCTAGATTGAATCGGTTCTTGTCTTGGTTGGACCCTTCGACACTCGGCAGCAGCTTCTCACATGCGCGCACCGTAATGCGCCGCACAATACAAGCGGTAATTGGCCGCCACTGCCACCGAGTACATGCCGATTTCGATGGCTATTTAGAGCGATCATCTCTCGCTCGGATCGCGTCGAGAGCTCTCCGTGCATCCTTTGATCCGTCGAGCAAGTGCGCGCCGCAAACGGATCGTCAGCCGCGGCGCACGCATCGTAGGCCACGAACGTGCATGTATATCCTTGTACACACGCATGAAAGATGCGCCTCGTAGACCGCAGACCAGATATTGAAATGGAATCACGCCCGCGCCACACGGTGTATTCCTTGAGCTTTTCCCATTAAGCGTGGCTCACGCGTGTGTGCGTGCCTACGTGCATGCAACACTGCTACTACCACCTATATACCACGTATGCCTCTTGTGCATACGTATTACCACCGGCACACATATAATTCCATGCCGCTCACTGTGTGTATGGACCGTACCTGCGTACATACGCGGCCCAACACACAGAGAGGATCGCGCAGGGCTGTTATTGAAAACGAATTATATCGACATGAAAAAGTCATGACTCCCTTTTTCCTTTGGCTTGCGTGTACCGAGCGCGATTACTCCGATTATCAAGTCCTCGTGCATAGCAACGGGACTCGTCATTGCCCATACACCATACGTAACTCCGTGTGGGTGCACTCGTGCTCGAGTGTAGGAGTGGGTACGTACATGCGTAGTACTTACGCGGATTCATGCCTAGTAGTCAAGAAATCTATCATTCATAGAACATTTTTATTAAAAAAAATGTTTCTCTGCAGAATAAAAAATACTTCTAAATTCTTTGAATCACTTTTAAAAGAAGTTACTATTGTTATTATTCCCTCCGATGTTTATCGAAGGAATTCAAATTCGTCGAATCCTCGACAAATAACAATTTTTGATTATTTTTCAATAACTTTTACTTTAACGCAAAAATCAAAAGTCTTACATTGCGGAATGAGCACTTTTTCTCTTTCATATTGTTTCCTCACAATACTCTGTATAGACTTTTCTTGTACTTCCGCAGGAGTCTGTTTATAATTATTACAATTAAAAAAGATCCAAACCACTTTGACTTTGTTAATAAAAAAACATACACAAGCAACATAAATAACAGTTTAAAGTATTTTATTATTCTTTAAAAATTAAAGGATATGTGTGTACAAAATTTTCTACAATAATGAAGTGTAGTGTACTCATGTGATTCCAAAAGTCTTTTAAATGTAATCATATACTAAAAATTTCATGTCTTCTGAACTATACTAGCTGCTACATGATTTGTGACCAATCTCACATTCGAAATGGTTTGTCATAGTAATGTACTGAAGTATCGTGAGATTTCGCAGTATTCTTGACGACAAATGACTTGCGACAAAAATTACATTCTAATGATTTACTTTGATTGTGAACTGCTGTCACGTGACTTATATGAACATACTGGTTTCCCAATGAATCGCGACAAGTGTTATACTTGGGTTTGCTCCTATTATGTACTGTCATAATGTGATTTTTTAGTGCATTCTTGTATCCAAATGATTTGTGGCAAGTCTCACATTCGAAGGGTTTGATTCGATTATGTACAGAACTCAAGTGTCTATCGCAGTTCCTCTTATTGGAAAATGATTCATGACAAATATCACATTCAAAAGTTTTGCTAAATTTGTGTACTGTATGTATGTGATTTTTCAAGGTATGTTTGTATCCAAATGATTTGTGACAAATATCACACTCGAAAAGTTTGCAACGATCATGTACTATATTTATGTGAGCTTTAAGATACGCTTTTCCTCTAAATGATTTGTGACAAGTATCACATTCAAAAGCTTTCCTGCGAATATGTATTGCATTAATGTGATATTTCAAGCTTTGCTGGTATCCAAATGATTTGTTGCAAATTTCACATTTATATGGTTTAATTCTCTTGTTTGTCGAACGAATACGTGTTTTCTGATTCGTAATTTTATGAGTCTTTCTACCTTTCTGAGATAAATTGGTTTTAGTTTTTTTTTCAAATAATTTAATTTCCTCGGATTTTTTAATTTCCAATTGGGGATTTACTTGAAACTGACGGTTATCGGCGTAATTGAATCCTCTTTTCAATAAAATTGTTAGCTTTTTTTCATTCACGTTACTGGTATGAACTTGGCTTTCTAATTCAACAATCGGTTGAAAACTTTGACTTTTAATTTTACAGATGCTTGTCGGAAGAGACGTCGGTTTAGGTTTAACATCTTTGCAATCGGAAACTGCAGATATTTTTTTATCTATCTTTTCTAGAAATACAATGGCTTTATCGATGTGAATTGCCTAAAATTAAAATTTTGCAATAGTTTTTGATAGTGGAAAAATTGAACATAATTCAAATCATTGAACTTACTGGTAATTTATTAAACGGCAATGTTTCTACTTTTTTGGCTTTGCGATAATCCACCGATTCAATATTATAATCGTCGCCTACATCTAATTGTCGCCATTTATCGTTAGGTTTTTGCTTCAACCTAAAGAATAATAAAGTTTGATTAAGCGATCGTTTAAAAATATGTCAAGTTATGAACCCAAATGTTTATACCTAACTGCGTTTCCTCTGGTTTTCATCACTCGCTCGATTATATGCAATCAAATACTATGAATTTTCACTATTGGCACTGAAAAAATATTCGAGGTTATACGCCTCGTGTAGCCAATACTGCACCTCGTTTTAAAATACACGACCTATGCTCCTTTACTTATATTTTTTGTAAACACTGGCTTACTGCAAGAATTTTGCTCCTCGATAATGACTGAACGCGCCACTTGTATATTAGCGAGGTGACCCTGCAATCGTGATAGCTCCTTGGCGGTACTTCCCCCTCTATCGTCAACTGTCCGAACCCAGTTATGTACTGCGAAATATTTAGGCACTCGCATGTCATTGACACTGCTCCGAAATTGTAATAAAAACGTCATTCGTGTAGAAGCACGATTCGCATACCCGCATGCGCGATATACGCGGAGAAACATTCGCACAAAATTTTTACAATTTTAGTTTGCCACTTTGTCTGTGAAGAATGTGTTTATAATATAATTCAACACATGGACAGGTAGGTATGATATGACATAAATGTTTCATGCATAAGTGTACTTTTCCGTGGTGTGTCATGTTGTGCAACGTGCGCACCAACATCTCGTACTTCTCGTTTGGAATTGCCACGCGATCATCAGTTGAAAACGTGACGAAGCGAGCAACTCGTATAGTTCGCCGCTGCAACTCTCAGTAACGTTTTACGTAAATAATTGAAGTGCACAGATATCCTACGTTTCTATGCACACTTAATTTTTTGCTCTCGACACTCTCGCAACTCGACTGATTGCTCTCTTTATCTATCTCTCGCTTTCTTTCTCTTTCCTTTGCCCTGTCTCTCATGATGCAATACGTTTAATAATACACTTATGCCTATTACAGTGCGCTCCTCCATTATTGCTGGGCCTTATTATTTGTTTATGAATTCATGTAGGACATGTGAATGAGATTTAAGATAAAGCCATGCTTTTCTTAACTACATTTAGAAGAGGCAAATTATTGCGATCAATCATTTGGAAACACCTGCTGCATATGCTCACTGCATATGAGCATTGCTCAGATAATGCATTTGTGTGCATGTGAAATAAACTTTTACTTTTTTATTGAAAATATTACGCATTCGATCAGATTAATTCATTTAAGAAAACTTTTGAAGAAGTTTTCACACTTTTTGCATATTCGCGGCTATTTTATTATTGGTGTAAATTACCTATTAAATAAAAATGCTTGTTAATACTTAAGATTTATTTTATTGTATAATAATCTTGAAATTCATCAATGTTATGTTTAATTTAGCTGAACATAATTTAAGAGAAAAATAGTTAATTTTCATGAGTCAAAAATAGCATAAAACCACGTTATAAATATACTGTTATCCTTTTTCAAGTTCAAGTTTATCGAGTTTAATAATTCCTAATTTTCACTATTACTTTTCTGAATCTTTCACTACTAATTCATTGAAAACGTTTGATATTTAAATAACATTTAGTTGGAACAAAGAAAAATTTAAATAACTTAGTTCGCATGCGAGTTGCAATAATCAGTTAAGAATCGTCTCGTCTTGCGCAGGAGTGCAGGACAGCCGCGTACAGTGCGAGCAGGACGGCCGCTTAACTCGAAGGTTTGAATTAGCTCCGAGACGAGGCAGGCATGTCATTATCGAAAAAGCGAGCAATCGCATATGTGTGCATAGTACACGTATACACAGGCCAAGTGCGTGCCACGTACGAGTAGTGCACACATGCGATCGAATACCTGCGCGGGTGAGTAAGAGAGGGCTTATTTTTGCAGCTCTCACTCGATGCTATTAGTCCTTCCCCGCGCGCAACCTTTTTTCCACGTTCAACGGGCTCATCCGCCTCCACTCTCTATACACGCAAATAGCTGTACGCGAGCAAAAATCACACATCCTGTCTTTCGCGCTCGGCTCGTCTCGCCTACACGCTTCAAACTCGATTTTCCACGATCGAATACGTAGCGCTACTGCTGCTCGCTTGTCGGGGCTCTGCGATCTAATATAAGTAAATGTACGCCTTATCGTATTTGCAAAGTACGCGCGAGCATGGCGTGCGTATATAGGGCGCGCTACAGCATCGATGCTTTGATATGCTCCACTGTAACGTCTGTTCATGAATCTGGAAAATCATCGTTTCTTTGCACGTTCTTCGAATTTCCTTCTCTCTAACCTGTCTGAGGCAATTTTTTTTTCTTGAATCATTCAACTTCCCTAATAAACCTGCAAATAGTACCATTTACACCACAGTAAACACAATCGGCGACGACAACTCATCATAATTTCTGTACCAATTATGAATTATACTTTTACTTTTTTTTATTAATAAAGCATACTTCATCTGTTAATTCTAATTGGATTCACTCACTCATCAGCCTAGAATTTGCGTGCATAGAGCGAATATCTTACATATTGAAACTGCGTATACAATTGGTGTATGCTTGTAGGTAATTTGTCGACTTGGCAAAGATAATTTCTCGCACAAATGTCAAATGTATGTACATAAAATTACATTCCAGACTCTAAAGCTCTGCGATGCTAGTCTAGTTAATTAATTTGCTAAACGTACAGTTTTTTCATACAATTACCACCAAGCAACAAATGATCTCTCGCTTTTTTAAACGAATTATTTTCGATCACTTCAAAGTAATACCATATTTCCCAAATCATCCGAATGAACAGATAATTGTTCAATATTATTCTTACGTAACAGCTTGCACACGAGATCATCTGCCACATCTAATTTCGAAAATGAAACGAATTTTTCTCTCTTTCGAAGGTGCAAAATATTAGCTCAGAGATGAGCATATTCGCCAGTCGAGTTGCCACTTGACTCAGCTTGTATTGTATAATGCGATTCAGCAAGGGCTGCACTAAACTGTACATAGGAAAAAAAAGCGATCGGATGGATGCACACTTGAGCAGTCGAGGCACACAATCTCTCGTATCGCCGAGTTGTAAAGTGCATAATATGCAATGATCGCGATAGCGTCGGGGCTTAAACGTGCCGTGTATACACGACGTGTATAAATGTAAGCGATAACCTTTTTACGTCGTATTTTAACGTCAATTTTTCGAGAAGTGAAGTTTTAACACTCTATTACTGGTGGCTCACGTTCAAGAACTCACTCGATAGTTCCCCCCACCGAGTTAGGTTGTGAGCATATTTAATATAGAACGACTAGTCTCTATGTATATATGTAGTTAAGCTATATCAAGAAGAGGTAGGAGGCAGGTGTGAAAGAGAGGGACTTTGACAAGAATTTCTCTCAACATTGCATTACAAGTATTTAACAGTTTTGAACTTTTCCTACCCTGGCTAGAACTAATAAATAAACATATAAAAAAATAATTAGCTGCATGCGCCACTGACCTCTACATGTAGCAGAAGTTGAGTAAACAAGTTGAGTACTAAAGGAATGGATGACAGAAGAATGAATTACATACATTTGAAAATTTTGTAGTTTTATTTGCCCCTGAGAAGCTACTCAGTTTATTAGTCGCTGTATATTTTTTCACTTGAGTTTATGCAAAACCTGATGAATTCGAACGATTTCCTGCCTATTTAACGAGCACAAGATGAATTCTCAATAAATTTCTGTGGGCATTGCGTTTATATAAGAATTTGATACTGTTACTCACAAGAAAGAAAACCCATTTTCTTACATGCTCGTTTATGTTTGAGCGAGTTACAATTATTCGACCAGATATGCATGCGAAACTATTTACTATTGGCCTGCATGGAATATAATAACGGAATTGATGAAAAAAATATTAGCCCAACAATGGCTATTCAACGGATTGCGAGAGTAATTATAAACGTGCTTAATCAATCATCGATCTTGTTTGTATCAGATTCTCATTCATGGATACGTACACTGACCTATTTTCCCTTAGACACAATGGATTCATAGCTTTTTATTTTGGATATGGGTATATTTTCTTATTATTTGCGAATTATCACACGTGTATGGGTAAAAGGCATTTGACGAAATACTCGCACGCGTGCAAGATGACTAGTCCACGATACATATAGACAAAAGAATCAGCCGCGAGGTTTGGTTTAATAGCGGGTTCGTTAATTAGAGTATTCGGTCAGCTTCGAGAAAAAAGATAACGATGAGAAAAGTCTGAAAATCCAATCAGTCTCTCGTCGCGAGTGCAGAGGTCGGTGTTTCGTCGGCGCGCACGACCCGGACGTAGTCCTCACATGAGTTTCCAAGTGTTAAATTACCCCCCCCGGGTTCGCGAATAGTTCGTCCGATACGGCGTGCTCCGATCAGCTGTGTGCACGCGAGCGCGAGGCATCACTGCGAGGTTCTCTCTCGGGGCCTCTCTGACAATGCAGAGCCCACGGAGAGATAAGAAGAAACAGGCCCAATGAGTGCACAATATCGGCGATGTGAGTGTGTATGTATAAATGCACATGCATGTATGCACATGCAGAACGAACGCCAAAGCTGCAGAGCTCTGCAACGCCCTCCGCACGCGTATCTCTCACACCATCCACTCTTTAAATTGTTCGTGATTACTCCGACCGGCCGTTCTTCAATACCACACGTGTTTTGTCTTATTTTTTGCCGCACACGCATCAAGCTATATTAATTATATTATGCGAGCGCGTATGCATCGTATCATCGAGATCTACTCACTCTTTATATTGCGAGGAAAGATTTATTTCGCACCTCTAAAACCTCTATAACTATTTTGACCTTAAAATGACAATTGAATTGTATCACAAAATTTAAATTAGTTTTCAATAACTTTCAATGGTAATTAAAGCTTCCACTACTAGATGGCGCATACTATTATTTGTAAATCTGAAAGTGGCAAAGTAAAAATGATTGTATAAGTCAAAGTATGGTTTTTTTAAATCTACGTTTGATATAAAATTATTATCTTATATAATACGCATGTTTTATTTTTAAAGCGCTATTAGCTGCATAGAATTCGTATATATACCGAAGAGAATTTCCAAAAAGGATGAGTAGGCGTTGGCGGCGGCTCCTTTACCTGTACCACGTATACGCGTGGTTTTTTCTCTTGCACAGGGGGTGTAAGAAAAAAGCCCGGATGCCTTTGACGCGTGACGACCTCGCACACACACACATACATGAGCGATCCTTTAGCTCGCACACGGCGTAGCCGGCCTCTTGCAAGTCTCGCTATTATTATGATGACGCGACGC